AAGTTTCACCTCTCTGCAGGCTGGAGATGGGTCATCAGGCCACCAGTTTGTGGCCTCTTCCTTCCCAGCCTGCTCCTGTGCTGGGTCTGAACCATCCCAGACTGCTAGCCAAGCCTTACCATATGTCTACCTTTCCCTTGTTCACACATTTGCTCAGCCTGTGCCCTCTGACTCTAATGACCTCCCATCACCAAACCACCTACTGAAAGCCTCTCTTATGCCAAGCAAAAAGCAGGATGCCATGGTGTGTATATGACTGGAGCTTCAGGTAGGAAAAGTGAATGAATAAAAACCTGTATAAAATGAGTAAAAAGTCCAGTGTGGCACTGAGGGATAAGGGCTGGACTGCTAACCCCAGGCTAACTGCAAGACCCACCAGCCTCTCCTCAGAAACTCTATACAGGGTCTCTGAGTTGTAACTGACTCAACAACACTTAACAACAGTAACAATAACAACAAAGGCAATATGTCAAAACGTTAACCTCTATAAGTGGTAACGTTATAAGTGTTCATTCTCTCCAAATACTTTTACCTACCTTCTCATATTTTGTGGGCACAGATACAACTTGTAATTTCAAAAAAGAAATCCTCTGTGTTTGTCAAGACTCATTTCAAATACTATTTCCTCTATGAAAAACGTTTGCTATCTTGCTAACTTGGAATTTTTTTCTATGAAGGGTCAGCTTTGTTGGCCATATGATCGGTCACAGCTGCTCAATTCTGCCCTTGTGTGTGAACACAGCATAGGCAATATGTAAATGAAGGCGCCTGGCCGTATTCCAATAAAACTTTATTTACAAAAACAGGCAGCAGGCTGCATGTGGCTTGCTGGCCATATTTTGTTGACTTTTGGTTTTTGGTATTTATCTGGCTCCCCACCACCCATCAAGAGCTCCTTTGTCTGTGGACTCCCTCAGCTCAATATTTTTCTCTTTCTCTGCCATCTTGATGTTAGAATGTCTTGTACTGCACATTCCATCTGCCTGTCTTCCCTGCCTGCCACCCCATTTACTCCCTCATTGTTTCTAGAACAGCGCTATGCTCACTTTGGTCATGACCGTGGTGCCTGATCTGTATTGTTCAGAAAATTCCACAGGGGAGGCAGGATGGTGTGGTGGTGTACAGTTACAGTGTCAATTCCACATCTTGCTTTGGTTCCTTTGAGGTATGAGTTCTTGACAACTCTCTCTTAATGTCTTCTGACACCAACTCTAAATGTCTTCTCTGAAACCACTTCCAAATGCAGGTCTTAATCTTCTGACTCTAACCACCTGGAGTTAGATCCAAAATGGCACATATTAATGGGCACAGTCGTCCAGACTTCTGAGATGCTCTGGACTCCAGACATTAGCCAGAAGTTCAAGAGTCACCAGAACACCTGCAGTTCTGACCAACTGACTACAAATTCATGAGTTCCCACTACCCCTTTGGGTTCAATAATTTGTCAGAAGAAATTCACAGAACTTCAGATTACTTCTAATTACAGTTTTATTACATCTTTAAGAAGGATACAAAAGAATAGACACACAGGATGAGGTCTGGGAGGATTTCTAAAGTGAAGTTTCCATGTCCCAAGGGATATGTTACTCTCCCAATGTCTGTCACCAACCGAAAATGCTCACTTGAGTTCCAGAGTCCAGAGCTTTTATTCGGATTTCATTATGTAGGCATGATTGATTGCATCACTGGCCACATGGTTAAACTCAATCTCCAGCCCATCTCCCCCCAGTCGAGGTCAGACTGACATGTGGTATATTTTATCACCTCATTAGTATAACCCATCAGGTATGGTCAGAAGGCCTCGATAATTAACAAAGATATTCCAATCATTCAAGAAACCTCAGGAGTTTAGAGCTATCTCCCAGGAACCAAGGACAAAGACTTAATTCTTTGGGTGAAGAAATTCTTCAACCCATACCCCTCCATGTAATTCCATGTTTCTCTATGCCTTTTTTTCCTCTTTTGTTGACCTACCTACCTGTTACCATTGAATCAATTCAGACTCATAGCGACCCTGTAGGACAGAGTAGAACTGCCCTGTAGGGTTTCCAAAGCCATTCTCTTTATAGAAGACTGTCACATTTTCCCCCGGCTGATAAAGTCAAACAACCAACCCTTCAGTTAGCAGTCAGATACTTAACATGTCCACCAGCAGGGCTCTTTTCTTGTGCAAAAGGGGGATAGCAGTATCCTCCTTATATGGGGATGGGGGCAGTGGGGAGAATTGAGTATTAAAGCAAATGTAAGGGCATATATTAAAGTCTTAGCTCAGATTTGACATCTAGAGTGTTTAATATTAACTGTAGCTATTATTTCTTGTTATTGCTCTAAATGATTGGGTCTGTTATTCTTCCAGACTCTGGCTAACTAGCTATCCATCGGAGAAGTTTCCAGTCAGCATTCTCCAGAATGGGATCAAAATGACCAATGAGCCTCCCAAAGGGCTTCGAGCCAACCTTTTGCGCTCCTACCTCAATGACCCAATCTCAGATCCTGTGTTCTTCCAGAGCTGTTCAAAGACGGTGATGTGGCAAAAGCTTTTGTTTGGCCTTTGCTTCTTCCATGCCATCGTTCAAGAGAGGAGAAACTTTGGACCCTTGGGTAAGAAATGAAAGCTCCCTGAGTTTTCTATAGGGAAGATCACAGATGGATGAAGGTCTGTGTCCATGTGTGTATTCAAGTTTGTACTCAGGTAAACTTGCCAGTAAAATATAGTATAAGTATGCCCAATGTAATATTTGCACATTGTTATTGTTGTTGTTAGGTGCCATCAAGTCAGTACCTTATGCACAGCAGAACGAAACACTGCCCAATCCTGGGCCAACACTTATACTAAAAAATATTTATCAGAAACTAAAATGTAACTGTGTGTTTTATATTTTTATTTTCTAGATCTGACAACCCTTGTTGTTGCTAGGTATCATGAAGTTGACTCTTACTGCTAGTGACCCTGCGTACAACAGAACGAAACACAGCCTGGTCCTGCACCTTCCACATAGCCGTTGCTGTCTTTGTGTCCACTTTTGTAGCCACTGTGTCAGTCCATCTCGTTGAGGGTCTTCCTCTTTTTAGCTGATCCTCTCCCAAACATGGTATCCTTCTCCAGGAACTGTTCCTACCTGGAAACATGTCTAAAGTCTATGACAACTCTTGCCATCCACACTTCTAAGGAGCATTTCAAATGTACTTCTAAGACAGATTTGTTCATTCTTCTGGCAATATACTGATACACTAAATGTTGTTACGCCAGTATATGATACATTCAATATTCTTTACCAACACCATAATACAAATGCTTCAGTAATTCTTCAGTCTTCCTATTTATTGTCCATCTTTCACATGCATATGAGGCAATTGTAAAAAGCATGCCTTGAGTTAGGTGCACCTTAGTCTTCAAAATTACATCTTTGCCCTTTAACACTCTAAAGAGGTCTTTTGCAACAGATTTGCATCGTGCATTACGTCATTGATTTTTTGGTTGCTGCTTCTATGTTTTGTTGATTGTGGCTCCAAGTGAAATAAAATCCCTGACAACTTCAGTCTCTTTTCTATTTTTCATGGTGTTTCTTCCAGTTGTGAAGATTTTGTTGTCTTTATAATGAGGTGTAATCCATACTGAAGGTTGCACGCTTTCATCAGCAAATGCTTCAAGTCCTTTTCATTTTTAGCAAGTATGTCATCTGCTGAATGTGTCATCACAGACTGTTAATGACTCTTCCTCCAGTCCTATTCCATGTTCTTCATAGAGCCCAGCTTCTCAGATTATGTGCTCCGTATACAGATTGAATAAGTATGGTGAATGGATATAATGCTGATGCACATCTTCCCTTTTTCTGTTCAAATGACTGTTTCTTGGTCCATGTATAGATTCTGCGTGAGCACAGTTTAGTGTTCTTGAATTTCCATTTTTCCCAATGTTATCTATAATACATTGAGATCCACACGACCAATGCTTTCAGCGCAGTTTGGACTTCTTCCATTATTACCATTGGTTCATGATCATATGCTGTCTCTTAAAATGGTTCAACATTGAACCATTCTTTTTGGTACATTGACTCTATGTATTCCTTTTATCTTCTTTTGATGTTTCACACATCATTCAGCTTGAGAAATACCAAACATTTTCTTCCCTTTGGGTTTTCTAATTCCAAGGTCTTTGCATATTTCATTACAATAGTTTCCTTTGTCTTCTCAAACCCCCTTTGAAATCTATTTCAGCCCTTTTAAATCATCATTTTTTCCATTTGCTTTAGCTCCTTGATGTTCAAAAGCAAGTTTTAGAGTCTCTTCTGACATTCATCTGGTCTTTTCTTTCTTTCCTGTCTTTTTAATGTCCTTTCAATTTCTTTATATTTGATGTCCTTAATGACATTTCACAATTCGTCTGTCATTAGTATTTAATGTGCCAAACCTATTCCTGCTCTACAGCACTTAACAACAACAAGCCATGTCAAGACTGTGAGCTTTCAGAAGCAGATCACCAAACCTGTTTCCCTAGGCACCTCTGGGAAGGTTCATCTAGTAATCGAGTGCTTAACCATTTGTGCCACCCAGGCAGTTACTGACCCTTGGAAATAGAAGCCACAAGTTCTTGAAGGTTGGCCATCCACTTCCTGCAGGAGCTTGAGGATGGGAGTTCTCAAAGCTGACCGTTCTGTTACCCAGTCCTGCTCACTGCTCCCTAACTCTGCTTTCGTGTTATGTTTGGAGCTCTGTGCACTACCACAGTATTCCAGTCAGGGTGAATGATTCTCATCCCACAAATCCCAGGATGTTAACATCTTCCTTAACAAATGGCGAGACCCATAAGGAAACTGATTTAGAATGGATGTTTCTGCAGGCAGAATGGCTCCCATGTTGGCAGTAAATGGCAAGGCTAATCCTTCCTTGGCCCTGTGCTTGATATTCATGGGCTGCTTGAGGCTCTTTATCCAAAAGGATGCTGGACTTCACCAGCTCAATTTCTGAGTGGAAATTAACAGCTCTTAGCACTTGGACCTTCTACTTCTTCTCTGCCTGTGCAGGTTGGAATATTCCTTATGAGTTCAATGAATCTGACCTAAGGATTAGCATGCGGCAGACCCAGATGTTTCTGAATGAATACAAGGAAGTGCCGTTTGACGCTCTGATCTACCTGACAGGTAAGCCTCCAATGCCATGCTCTATCTTTGTACTCCTTTACTCTGCTCTCCATCCATTCATTTAGTCATCCGTTCATTCAGAAAACATTAAATTTTTACAAACTGCTGGTTACCGTGCTGGAAATTGTAAACAAAAACACAGGCAATTAATATATATAAGTCCTACCTTCAGTGGTTCACAGTCTAGAAAGAGACAGAAATAAAGAAATAAATGAAAATACAGTGATAAGTTCAAGAAGAGAAATGTTTATAAAGCAGAAAGGCAGCACATTGATCGAATGAATCTCTGGGGAGAGGGGTGATCATGGAAAACTTCCTGAAGGCATAAAAGACGGGGTTTTAAGGAGTGAGTAGGAGTTTTACAAGTAGAAGAGGAATTGGGATACGGAGTTATACACAAGAGAAAACAAACACATTGTCCAGCAGAGGGACACTGGGGTGGAAACAGCACGTACTGTTTTGAATTAAAGTAGTCCACCAGCAAATATTTACTAGTCAACCAATTTATTGTTGTTAAGTGCTGTCGAGTCGGTTCTGACCCACAGCGACCCTGTATGGGGTTTCCTAGGAGCGGCTGGTGAGCTTGAACCACCGACCTTTGCAGTTCAAACTGACTTTGCAGTCCAGTGCATTAACCCACAGCGCCACCCCAGGACTCCCAGTACGTACTAGTATATAGAATACTAGTATATAGTAAATATATATATACCCATTGCCTTCTAATCAGTTGTAACTAATAGCAATCCTGGAGGACAGAGCAGAACTACCATAGGCTTTCCAAGGCTGCCATCTGTATGGAAATGGACTATCACATGCTCTCCCCACAGATTGGCTGGTGAATTCAAGCCATAGACCTTTTGGTTAGCAGCTCAGCATTGGATCACTGTGCCACGAGGGCTCCTTGTTGTTGTTGTTGTGTGCCGTGGAGTCGGTTCCAACTCATAGTGACCATGTATAGGGTTTCTGAGGCTGTAAATGTTTATGGGAACAGAAAGCCTCATCTTTCTCCCGTGGAACAGCTGGTAGTTTCGAACTGCTGACCTTGCGGTTCGCAGCCCGATTCATAACCACTACGCTACCAGAGCTCCTTTCAGGGTTCCTTAGTACATCGTATGTTGTTATTAAGTGTCATCAAGTCAGTTTCAACTCACAGCAACCCTGTATAGGGTTTCTGAGGAGCAGCTGGTGGGTTTGAACTGCCGGCCTTGTGGTTCTCAGTCCAGTGCTGATCCTAAACGCGCCACACCAGGAGTCCACAGTATAGGAGAACATAATGGATAAAACTTGGTCCCTGTGACACAGATGTATTTATGTACACTGATGTTCGTCACAGCACTGTTCACAGTAGCAAAAGGATGTAAACAGCCACATGGCCATCAATGTATGATGGATGAAGGCTGGTACATGCACATAGTGGAATGCTCTTCAATGTTAAAGAAAAATGAGGAAGCTGTGAAATCCCTCGTAACATGGATGCACCTGGAGGGCGTTGTGCTGAGTGAAATACAGCACTCACAAAAGGCTAACTGGCATGAAAGACCCCCCATAAAAACGCAAGGGACCACCCATCCATAGAAAGCAGCATACTTTGTTGATTACCAGGGATCAGACAGGAAGGGAAATCACTAACTACAGAGTGGTTGTGGTGGTGTGCCATTGAGTCAGTTCTGACTCACAGCCACCATATGCTACGGTTTCTCAGGGTTTCTGGTGGGTTTGAACTGCTGACTTTGCAGTTAGTGCAGTTTTGTAGTCCAGGGCGTACCCTACAGCACCACATCAGTCTTGCATTAACTTGGGTGAAGGGAAAAGCAATATATAATAAGAGGGAGGGCATCATAAAATGACCAAGGCAAAGGAAGACTCAGGGAGGTAAACAAGAGTAAAAGACAACAACCGTCAGTACCATTGCATATGTACCCTTGAAACCACAGTAACAATGAATGCAGACAGGCAAGCTGAACAAGTGTGAGATGGCATATGTTAGTACACCCATGAGTACATGTGTGTATATATTGCACCGTAAGTATTTGTACACGCTGCAGGTATATTTCTACATACAGTAGAGTTGGTTCCGACCTTATGCACAACAGAACGAAATGCTGCCTGGTCCTGGCCCTGTGCTGTCCTCACGGTCATTACCAAGCTTGGGCTCACAGCTGCTGTACTGTTCTGATCCATCTCGTTGGGGGTCTCCCTCTTTTTCATTGACCCTCCACTTTACCAAGCATGATGTCCTTCTCCAGGGACTGGCCTCTCCTGATAATATGTCTGAAGTATGAGCTAAAAGTCTGGCCATCCTGGCTTCTAAGGAGCATTCTGATTGTACCTCTTCCAACACAGATTTGTTTGTTCTTCTAGCATGGTACTTTTTTTTTTTTTAGTTTGAAGTCCCTTCTTTTTATTTATTTATTTTTAAATGTTTTATTGTGAATTATGTGATAGTTTACATGGGAGAACATTAGTTTTACATTCATTCTATCGTATATTGTTTCATTGCCATGGTTACAGTCCTCTCCATGCATCATCAACCAACCAAAGGGTAGACCTTGCAAGCCTGCCCCACACACACCCCTGGTCTTCAGCACACAGTCCCTCTCCCTCTCTGGATCTAAAGTCTCCAGCTGCTCCATCGCTCCACGTCATCATCTCTGGCTCCATCTCAGGCATCACTGCTTCTCTGGGTAGGGTCCTGCTCTCTGCTCTTCTCCCTTGATGGTCCTAGGGACCTCCGCTCCTAGACTGGAAAGTTAATCACTCCCCTCCTTGCTATAAAACATCTACCTTTACATTTCCAACCCTCACAATCAGTCCTGATAACAATTATTCACTATTGTATCACAAGAGACCAATCTGCATTTCATGTATCAGCCCCGCCTAGACAGATTGGAATCTCACTGGAGATTCTACCTTCCTCCAGGCCCTCTGGATCTAGGTTCCCTCTTGAGAGCTTGTAAGCCAGTCACTTCTTGCCTTTGTAACCCTCCCCAACCTTCCCCCCACCATTTTGGGTAGCCAATGTTCAAGTTGCCCATCCCTGTCTACTCTGTGTGTGGAGGGGGTGGGAATGATTCTTGCTTTAAGGATTTGTTCCCTCTTTTGAGCTACTGCATCCATAGGTGTAGGTCAGGTTCATCAAATTGTATCAGATTACTCTTTTTTCCCTCTTCTTCTTCTGGTTGAGCTCTGATTAGCATGGTACTTTTAATATACACCTACAACACCATAACTGAAATATATCTTCCTTTATTCACTGTCCAACTCTCACATGCATATAAAGATAATTGAAAATGCCATGGCTTGGGTTAAGACAGACCTTAATCCTCAAACTGACATCTTTGCTCCTCAACATTTTAAAGAGGTCTTATGTAGCAGATTTGCCTCATGCAATATGGCATTTGGTTTCTTGACTGCTGATTCCATGAATGTTGATAGTGGAGCCAAGCAAAATGAAGTCTTTGACAACTTCTATCTTTTCTTCATTTTTATCATGTTACCTATTAGTCCACTGGTGAAGATTTTTGTTTTCTTTATATTGAGGTTCAACCCACATTGAAGGCTTTGGCCTTTGATCTTCATCAGTATGTATTTTAAGTCCTCTTCTCTTTCAGTAAGCAAGGTTATATCATCTGCATATCACAGGTTAATGAATCTTCCTTCAATCCTGATGCCACATTCTTCTTCATATAATCCAATTTCTTGGATTATTTGATCAATATACAGATTGAATAAGTATGGTGAAAGAATACAACCCTGGCATAAACCTTTCCTAATATTAAACCATTCAGTGGTCCCTTGTTCTGTTTCAATGACTACCTCTTGGTCTATGTATAAATTAATCATGAGCACAATGAAATGTTCTGAAATACTCATTCTCTGCATTGATGTCCATAACTTGTCATGAGCCGCACGGTTGAAAGCCTTCGCATAGTCACCAAAGCACAGGTAAACATCTTTGTGCTATTCTCTGCTTTCAGTCAAGATCCATCTGACATCAGCATTGATAGCCCTTGTTCCACATCCTTGTGTGAATCAGCTTGAATATGTGGCAGTTCCCTGTCAATGTACTGTTGCAGCCATTTTATTTTAATTTATCTTTAGCAAAACTTTACTTAACATGTGATATCCATGATTCTGTCTGATGATTTACATATTCTGTTGGTTCAGCTTTTTTTGGAAGGGGAACAAATACGGATCTCTTGCAATCAGTTGGCTAGGTAGCTATCTTCCAAATTTCTTGACATAGATGAGTGAGTGCCTCCAGCGCTGCATCAGTTTATTGAAAGATTTCAATTGGTATTCCATCAATTCCTGGAGCCTTGTTCTTTGCTATGCCTCCAGTGCACCTTGGACTTCTTCCTTCGGTGCCATTGGCTCTCAATCATATGCTACCTCTTGAAATGGTTGAACATCAACCATTTCTTTTTGGTATAGTGATTCTGTGAATTCCTTCCATCATCTTTTGATGCTTTCTGCATCATTCAAGATTGTACCTATTGTTGGTGTTAAGTGCTATTGATTCGGTTCCAACCCATAGTGATCCTGTATAGGGTTTCCAGGGTGTGACTGGTGAGCCTGAACTACTGACCTTGAGGTTCAAACTGACTTTGCAGTCTAGTGCATTATTCCACAGCCGCACACCAGGACTAGATATCCTTTAAACTTGAATCTGAACCTTCCCCTGGGGATGAATTTTCAGCCAAACAATAAGTAGGTCTTTAACGTAGATTTCTCGTGTGGCACTGTAAAATAAGCGCAGGACTGCAAACCACAAAGTCGTCAGCTCAAACTCACCAGGTGCTCCTCAGAAACCCTATACAGGATTACTATGAGTTGGAACGGACTCAATGGCACTTAACAACAACAACAATAAATTGAGCAGTAACACCTGTGAGGAACTTTCTCCTTACGACCATATGAGAACAAAAGGGCTTAATTTGCCCCAAAATGAAGTCAGAAGGCGTGAGGAGCAGGACAAATGGGAATGGTGAAGAGCTCCTTCCTAAGGTAACAAAAGTTTCCTAAATTCAAAGACTTAAGACAGTAACGGTTTATTGACCACACTGCATGCTCATTGTGATCTGGTAGCGGTCTCGGATCATTGTCCTTATCTATCAGGGGCACAGTAGGCCGACTGCAAAAACTTTTGGTGCCAACACCTCAACACATATTTGTGTGGTTACTACCACAGGGTAGCACTGAAGGGCTCATGCTGACAATAAGGTTTCACTGCCCTCACGCCTGCAAAGGACCCATGGAAGTGTCATCTTACATGCCTGGAGAGAAAGAAGAACCAGATTTAGGTACCATTAGAATTCCCTCTCACACTCACTGAGGAGACAGATGTAGTTTGCAAATGAATGTGGTCATCAAGTCAGATGGGCTGTAGTGAATACATACTTAATCTGGTACCTAGTCCTGTTGCAGGGACAAGGGAAAATTCCGAAGGGGCATAAGCACATCTTTACCCCGCTAGAAATACTGCTACCCAGAGTAAACATATATGTTGTCGTTAAATGTTGTCGAGTCGGTTCTGACTCATAGCAACCCATATAGGGTTTCGTAAGAGTGGCTGGTGAGTTTGAACTGCCGACCTTGCAGCTCAAACCGACCTTGTAGTCGAGTGCTTATCCTATTGCTCTATAGCAATCATAATATTAAAAAAAAATTTAAAAATCTGTCCTCATCCCAAGCTGAGCATGGCGTCAGCATCCCTGTGTCCCAGCAGAACCCATTCGTTGGAGACGTTCACTGTTTCTAGTTACAAACCAAGTTCATTTTGACCTTCCTGTGGACTCAGCGTCTTCCTCTGCTGCCTCTCCCCAGGGGAATGTAATTATGGAGGCCGAGTGACTGATGACAAAGACAGGCGTCTCCTGCTGTCCCTTCTGTCCATGTTCTACTGTAAGGACATTGAGCAGGACCATTACTTCCTCGCTCCTGGAGACATTTACTACATCCCTGCCCATGGCACCTACCAGGTGAGGGCTGAGGGGGAAAGGCAGCTTTCCTCTTTCCTCAAGAGGCGTTCACTAGACTTGGGGATGCAGGATAGCCAAGGAGTGGCAGGGGTAGCCTTGGACCTCCTGACCTGGGCTCACAACTGATTTGCAATATTTGAAAAAGCCTTCAAAAGAGGCATTGTTATTTTGTAACAAATGCTGAGTATTTGGTAGGCAAAGGTTTTCAAAATATGGGATGGGTCTGGGAGAGCAGGGAAGGGGATAGCTAAGGCAAAGTCTTGATGTTAGACAGGCTGGAAAATTCCACTTGAAAACAAAGGTCCAGATAGTGGCAAAAGGGAAGAGAGAGAGAATATAAACAGAGTGGGGAATGAGAAAGGGAAGAGGAAAACAAGAAGTCGAAAGGAGGAAGGAAGGGGAACTAACTTTTACTGAGCACCTGTTAGTGTCAAGACCTTATTCATTTATTATCTGTTGATCTTCCCATTTACAGTATATGGGAGAGGATGGGGCAGGGCGGGAAGATACTTGACTCCATCTGCCTTCATACTCACTCCCCAGAAAACTGTCTGAGGAAGAGCTTGGGATGCCTTCACCCAGCCTAAATGGGAAGGGGTTGTGTCACTGACACAGTGTCGTTCCTGGTTGGGTTTGGTCCACCCAAGCCCTGAATGATCTGTGGGACCTTAGGTAATCCCACTTAGATCAGCTAAAGGTTTCCTTTCCAGTCTTACATCGAGTACCTCAGGGGCCTCCCCATCACAGCCCACCCAGAAGTGTTCGGTCTGCATGAGAATGCTGACATCACCAAGGACAACCAGGAAACCAACCTGCTGTTTCAGGGGGTGCTGCTGACCCTCCCTAGGCAGTCGTCAGGGAGTGGCAAGTCTTCTCAGGTAACTAGAACTTAGGGCAAGAGACCGAATTCCATTTCCCAGCAGCTTTCCATCTAATGGGTGCAGAGGATCATGGGTGATGACTTAGAAGGCAGAGGAGTCCTGGCAGCATCCTGAGGAAAGTGCTTTGGTCTTGCTGCTTAGTGTCTTTAAATACAGAGCTGAAATGGAAAGCGGACTCAAACTTGTGCCCATCATGGGGATGCCGGGTTCAGATATGGGGGAAAGCCATAAGTTAGAGGCCCTATAAGGTTGGGAAGTGGACACACTCTCCTTTTCATTTGCCCTGACTGTTCAGAGGGCAGGAGTGGAGGTGGTCTGAGGTTCTGTTTGCAGATTCAGACTCTGTTTGCAAAGTTTCAGCTCTTCCTAGATTATCTTCATGAGTTTTGCTAATCCACATATTCCTATACTACATTGATACCATATTTTAAAAACGAACTCCATGTTACTTAGAAACTGGGCATTACCACAGAAGTGGAATGATTGCCACAGAAAGAAAATAAGCATCAAATATTACTAAATTCCTCCCAAATGGTGTGCCTACCCAAAGTCTCTTGAGTGAAGGCATGACTCCCTTATTGTTCAAAAGGGAAGATTACCAAGTGTTAGAGAGCTCTTAAATTAACACCAGTCTGAAATTTCTTGAGAGGAATCAAAGAAGAAAAGGTGACCAAAACTTGAAAAAGAGAGAAACTTAGTCACCATGTGAGTCAGCATGATTTGTTCCACATCCTTGAACCACCTACAGTCCTTTCGGGTCTCCGGAGTGGGACCATCCACTCTGTGAAACCTGATTCAGTCCAACCTGCCCAGTCAGCAAATCAGAGGGAAACAAACCCTGAGACAGGAAATGACCCATTTCAAGTGGTTCATAAAATCAGGTGCCCAACCAGACCTCGAACAACATCTCCTGACTCCCAGTACACCCCATTCACTTCCATTCCCTTCTTCCTATCTCCACCAAGTCTAGCCTCTCTCAGTCTTGGATCTCATTTGGTTTCTTGATTTAGTTCATATTGCCATCAATGGTAGCAGGAAAATGAAGGTAAACTGGCTGATGTGTCGAAACTTAGGGTGGAATCTTCCCTCACAGTGGGAAGAGGGGAAGAAGAGTGGGTTTCAGAGCCACAGATCCACAGAATTACAGAGCTGTCTCTCTCTCACATTCATCCCTACCCTGTTGAACACACTGCCTGGGGCATCTTTCTCAGAGTTGAGCCTTCCCAGGTGTCACTGGGCACTGAGCAAGAGTGCACCAGAATCGGGTAAGGCTGAGGGAGATTCCTACCCGAAGAGTTAAGCCTGGTGTAGCTGCCCTGCCCTGAGGCTACCTGGCTGACCCAATGCCCCTGCATAACCCTCAGGCTCTTGCTTCAGGTGTGAGGACCCCCGCTCTCCTTTCTCAGCTTTTGCATTCTCTGAGTCAAGGGGTGATATGCCCCCCATAACTCGTGAGGATGATGGGTGTGCTCCCAGGCCCATGGTAGAATTCCTTTCTGCAAACTAGATCTGAAGAGACTGAGCTCACTACTTCAGAGTCACCCGACAAAGCCGTCACCTGAGAGTTTTGTTTCTCATTCTCTTCTCCTCCGTCTCCACTTTCAGGAAGTAGTTGAGGAGCTGGCTCAGGATGTGCTCTCCAAGCTTCCCAAGGACTTTGACCTGGAAGTGGTCATGAAGTTGTACCCTGTGGTGTATGAGGAATCCATGAACACTGTTCTAAGGCAGGAGCTCATCAGATTCAACAGGTAAGCCGGGACTCTTGAAGGGCTAAATCTAATAGGCAGCAGCTGAAATGTTGTTGCTGTTAAGTGCCATCAAGTTGGTTCCAACTTATAGCGACTCTGTATAGAGTTTCCAAGGAGCAGCTGGTGAGTTTGAATCGCTGACCTTGTGGTTCAAACTTACCCTGAAATCCAGGGCTTTCTCCCTCTAAACAGGGCCATCCTCAACATGTGTGGGTTCAGGGCTAAATCACTCCTATTCATTCTCTGCCATCATCTGCCATCAGGTTAGAACCAATACCAAACACAGGCTAATTGTAAAAGTATTGTTAGAGCCACTTTTACTGAGACCCTTCCAAGCCCTATGCATATTATCACTCTCAAACCACACAGTTTGAGATATGCAGTTATTAACCCTCCCTCCACTACCATTATGGAGCTCTGGTAGCGTAGTGGTTACAAGTTGGGCTGCTAACTGCAAGGTCAGCAGTTTAAAACAACCAGCTGTTCCATGGGAGAAAGATGAGGCTTTCTGCTCCTGTAAAGATTTACCGCCTTGGAAACCCTGTACAGGGTCATTGTGAATCGAACCGACCCCACGGCACATACCTACCAACCAACCACCACTACCATATTCCATATGAGAAAACTGGGAGCAAAAGATTCAGTAACTTGCCCAAAGGAACATAGTCACTTATTGGCCAGAAGGAGTTTGAACCCAAGTAGTCAGAGTCCAAAAGTCCATGCACTTAACCAAGATGCAAAATCAGGGTAAACATAGAAAGAGGTGGGGAGAATTTCTCCCCTCAGCCATAGGGATCGGGAAAATGTGCTGAGGGTTGCCCACGGGGTGAAGAGTCTTGAGCCTTCTGTTCTAAGCCTTCCTCATTTCTCCCTCAGTTATTACAGCATAGAACACTGGGACCACCTTAATTCTATTTCTAACTTGTCTTGTTCAGATGAGGAAACTGAACTTCCCAGAGATAACAGTGGTTTGATTTAGTGACTCAGGGTTGGGGCCTAGACTAGAACTCCTGGTCCTAGTTCCTGCTATTCCAGATAATCTGTGTGTTGCTGTCTCATGGGGTCATTGCTCAGGGTTTGTGTTGGCTTGTTTTGAGTTTCTAGTAAGGAGTTAGAGTTAGGGTTAGGCCTTTGGCTAAGTCTAGGCTAGGTGTAGGGTTTTATGTGGTATCAGGGTTATGGTTAGGACTAAGGTTAGTTAGTGGTAGGGGTAGGCTAGGGCTAGGAGTACTTGCTCTAGCTTTAGGGTTACAGTTAGGTTTCCTTTTATTTATTTATTTTGAAATCTTAATTTCCTCTGCATTTGTCAGTTCTGCAATTACACTATTTCCTCATTTTACTTTGTAGGGATGTTTTTTTTTTTTATTGCATAATGATATATCTGGTTCCGTATTTTCAGCCTTGTAGATTTGTTTTACTTTGTTGCTGTTGTGATTGTTGTCAAGTGCTGTTGAGTTGGTTCTGACCCATAGTGACCCTGGTTTCCAAGGAGCAGCTGGTGAGCTTGAACCGCCGACCTTGCAATTCAAACTGACTCTGCAGTCTGGCGCGTTAACCCACAGCACCACACCAGGACTCCAACAGCAGTATTCAAGTCCTCTTCATGTGATCTCCAGCACCATTTCTATCACCAAGGCTATATTTTCTGACTATTGATTCTTCATCTTTTTTTTTCTTCAAACATTCACATTCCAATCATAGTAATTATCAATCCATTTTGATTGCATGTTTGGGAAATTTCAAACTGAAGAAGTTGGTAGAATTATTCAATTTCATCATTGGCTTTAGTGATTGGTGTGTAAATTTGAATACTAGTGATAATTAACTAGTCTTCTTTGTGTTGTGGTTGTTAAGTGCTCTTGAGTCACTTGTGACTCATAACGACCCTGTATAGGGTTTCTGAAGAGCATCTGGTGAATTTGAACCACCAACCTTGTGCTTCAAACTGACCTTGTGGTCCAGTACTTATACTATAACACTACAGTGGGACTGCAGTCTACCTTGTAGGTGTACAGATAGCATGGTACTTCAAGATAAATCCTGAAATGCTCTTTTTGACAATAAATGTGACTCCATTCCTCTTCAGTTTGTTATTTCTGACATAGTAAACCATATGAATGTCGGATTCAAAATGGCGACTATCAGTAGTCCATCTCAGCTCACTAAGGCCTAAGATATTGATTGTATGTTTTCCATTTTATTTTTTACAATTTCCAATTTTCCTATCTTCACACTTCATACAGTCAGCATTCTAATTATTAATAGATGTTTGCAGCTGTTTTTTCTCATCTTGATTTGTGCCCTATCCGCAAATGAAGGTTCCAAAAGCTTTACTCCATTCACATCATAAGGATCAAGTCTTCTCTAGTCATATTCTGAATGCCTTCCAACCTGAGGGGCCCATTTTCTTGTACTATATCTGACAAGGTTCCTCTGCTGTTCAGAAAGTTTTCAGTGGCTATCCATTCAGACATAGTCTGCCTCACCTTCTTTCTAGTCTGCCTAAGTCTGGAAGTGCCACTGAAACCTCTCCATCATGAGTGATCATGCTAGTGTTTAAAATGCCAGTGGCATAGCTTTCAGCATCACAGCAACACACAAGCCACCATAGCATACTAGCAAACTGACAGGCAAGTAATGGGATTGGCCCCCTAGCAGATGAATATGAAGAGATTTGTGTTAATAAGTGCTCACCTATCAGAAGCCTTCCATTGATTCAGTTCTGCTTCATTGTGTTATCTAGTTCTGTATCTCTTAGTGTTCATTTTCTGGTTTTCTTTGCTGGTTTTGTATGGTTCCTGATTTTTCATTGATTTTGTCAGTTTGTTTTTACAGTGTTTTCCTGAATTCTACTGAAGTTTTATTTTGTTTTTTCCTTGATTTCATCTGCACCTTTCTTGATCATACCTCGACTTCATTGAAAGTACTTAAATATTATCCGATTGAATTCTTTATTAGGTATTTCTACTACCATTTCTGGCATTATATTTTCTGATTCTGTAGTTTGGGCATGCACTTGTTTGAGCCACTCTGTCTTGTTTCTTCATGAAGGCCAAAAATTGTCCGTTGTTTCTGAGACATTGTGGTATGTATTTATATTTAATTGATAACTGTATGTCGGTGTGTTCTGAGGCACTTGTCATCTGTTTCCTAGTGGGTGTGATAGAGACTAGAAGTGTGTATGCAGTTCTCTGTTCGCTGTTTGTATAATACAGTTCAACATGGGTTTGTCTGATGTCGGCTGCTAATTATTACTAGTCAGGTGGTACAGGAGTGGGTAGTGAGGCTTTGCCACTGGGGGCAAGGATGTGGCCAGCCCATATGGGCATAATTGCTGTCTCCAAAAACAAACAATAGCAATAAATGATCTGATGAAGCAAAAAGTCCCACACTTGCAGATGTGGGAGTGATACATCCAGTGGCAAACTGACAGAGCACAGGCTGCACAGGAGGGGTACCACTAGTTGCTGGGCAGGTGTGAGTAGGGACTGGCCATGTTATTTTCGTCACCAGGAGAGCATGGAGAACAAGGGAAAACCATAACTGTGTTGCCACCAACCTCCAGCATACATCTGGTGTCTGCAGGCTGCTCTGTCAGTTGGCAACCATGAGCAAAAGTTCAGACGGGCTGGGCAGCAGCAGAGCAGTGAGCAGCCCACTGCAAAACTGTCTTGTCTCCTCTCTGGCCACTCCCACTCAGCTTCCTCACCCAATCAGCTCTCAGTCCTCCTCTCTGTGCTGCTCTCTGAAGCTTAGGATTCCACAGTCACCATCTGTATGTGTTTCACTTGGTCTCCTGTGTTCTTGTTACAGAGTGTTTGCTCAGCATGTCTGCCTACTCCACCATCTTGCCCCAGAAGTTCCCCAGTGCTCAGTTTTAGGGACAGCAGTAGATCAGAAGGACTAAGGCATGTCATGTGAGAATTTCTTGGCTTCCCTAGTTTCAGGGTTACTCTGTAGGAGTCAAAAAAATAATTGGAACCATAGCCTCATCTAGCCTGAGACCAGAAAAACTAGATATTGCCTAGCTAACTCTACTGACTAGTTTGACCAGGAACACAAATAGAAAGTCCCAGATAGAATGAGAGAAAAATATAGGACAAAATTCAGATTCCTAAAGATGGTCAGGCTTATTGACCCAAAGAAACTAATAAATCCCTAAGACTATCACCCTTAGATACTCTTTTATCTTGGAACTGAAGCCATGCCCATTTATCCAAAATAATAGATTGGCTTGTAAAATCAACATATCACCCATGAGCACTGTGCTCCCTTAAACAATCAATGATTTGAGACCAAATGCCTGAAGCACAGATGAGAAGATAATGAGGGGCAGGAACACTAGATCAACAGAAACAGAACAAACAGAATGGCAGTAATGAGAATGCTGACACACTGTGAGAAACTGTAATGAGTGTCATGGGACAGTTTGTAGGAAAACAGTGAAATGGCAACCTAACTTGCTGTGTAAACATTCACCAAGGACACAACAAAATAGTATTTAAAAAAAAAATGACAGCCTTTGGGGAACCAAACAAGACTTGGGTGTGAACCTGTGGCACGCCACCTATGGCATGTGAGTCAGGCACCTGGGCGTGGTGGACTGTAGTTACCTTTTGTCCACCCAGGCACCAGACCTCATGGTTTCTCTCCTCTGCTCTCCAGTGCCCCCTAAGGCCAGAGCCATTGGAGTGGCCCACTGGAAGCTGTCTTTGAGTTTGAGGAGACTCCCCAGCCTTTGCCACTGGCCATTGTAATACAAGAGAGAGGGCATTAGCAATCCTGTTTCCCATGGTAACAGGGACTGAAGGAGTGCTGGTGGCAAAGTGGGTAAGCACTCAGCCTCTGACTAAAAAGTCGGTGGTTCCAACCCACCAGCCTCTCCTTAGGAAAAAGACGAAGCAGTCGGCTTCTTACAGATGGCAGCCTTGGGTACCCTGCGGGAGAGCTCTACAGTATTCCTTAGGGTCATCACGAGTCACAATTGACTCAGTGGCAACAGTTTGTGGGGGGTGGGGGGGTTGCTTGGTTGTTGTTTTTTTTTGTTTAATCAGGACTAATATAACCTCAGGTTATATTTCAAGGGAATTGTATCTTCTAGGGCAAGTGTTCCTCCCTTGGGTATTTAAACCTCTAATGGTTTTAGCGAGGTGCCATGAAGTCTACGTGAACTCATAGTGATTCCTTGTGAGGAGCGGGTAGAAGAGCCCCATAGAGTTTCCTAGGCTGTAAACGTAGGAGCCCAGACTGCCACTTCTGCCTCCCCTCGAGAGGCTGGGGCTGGGACTCCTTAGTTGTAAGAATAAAAAACACATTTTGCAAGTAGATCTTTAGGTGTAAAAGTTACAACTCTGTAGTTATAAGTCCTGAGATGTTAGGGACCCTAAGTGTAGTGGTTACACATCCAGAAATCCCACTCCTGGGTTTGATCATTCCATTGGCCTGAGATTCCATAGATGTTTGGAGATTACAGACTCTCTGGTGGCAGATTGTTTGGCACGTTCAGGTGCATTCCCTCTGGACTTGGTGAGGCCTCAGAATGCAGAGGACAGAGAGAGGGAGGAGACCTCCCAGGCTGCCCTTCAGTTTTCTCAAGTGTGGGTCTTGTAGTCTATAAAAAGAACCTTTTGGTTTTTCACATATGTGTATGTTTTGCTGTGTATATTCTCAAAAATAAATTAAATTAAATTAAAAAACACTTTGGTGACATAGATCGGAGGCCTTAAAACTATGCACACCCTTTAACTTAGAAATTCTACTTTTAGTAGGAAAATAATTAGAAATTTGAAGAGAGATTGCTATGAATAGATATTCCTAGCTCTGTTATTTACAGTGACAATAATCTAGAAAGAATATGTTTCCAATAATAATGAGAGTTAAATAAAATGGAACACATTGCAGTAACAAATACAGATGATTTAGTTCCCTATTTATTAATTTGGAAAGATCAAAATCTACAGGCTGAGAGAAAAACAGATTACAGAAAAGTAAATAGAATGAGGTACAATTTAAAGAGCCATAGTTATGTTTACTGAGAAAGCTCTGGAAAGATAGACACCTGAGTTCTCTTTAGGTGATTTAATGATTTGTATCTGGAATTTTTCTATCATGAATGCGGATTGATTGAGTGACCTTAAAGAGGGAAGGAAATAAAAGGAGACTTGGAGTCAGCACAGCTGGGTGAAATGGAGAGCCCGCTGAGCCGACTGCTTTGTTCTTGCAGGCTGACCACAGTGGTTCGCAGTAGCCTCATTGATCTTGGCAGAGCCATCAAAGGGCAGGTCCTGATGTCCTCAGAGCTGGAAGATGTCTTCAATAGCATGCTCGTGGGGAAAGTGCCCACCATGTGGGCGGCCAAGTCTTACCCATCTCTGAAGCCCTTGGGGGGCTATGTGACTGACCTGCTGGCCCGCCTGACCTTCTTCCAGGTACCTGGGAACCAGGGTAACTGGACACCTGGCACTCAGTCAGGCAGAGAGGACATTTTGAAATGACAGACACGGGGGAAGGAAGGGCAGGCGTCTACACAGCATCCTGGATTGAACATTTACTAGAAACAGTCTTCTCAGAGTTAGGGGCAGGGGGGAACTTTTCAAAGACCTATGGGGACAGGAGTAGGAACTAGAATAGATGTCACGACCTGGTGGCTCATCTTCCAGATTTGGTCAGTAGATATGTTTGGCTTGGCTGCCTGGTAATTTAAATGTTTTTGAGCTAGTAGGTAAACATGAGTTATTGCACATAAAATGTAGGTGTTTGTCCTATAGAAAAATGAAAAACCTGAAACAGTCAACCTGTGTCCTTGCATGGCAGCAAGTTCTAGAGAGGAGCTGTTGCTGCTCAGTTTAGACAGGGTGCCTGCTCTCTGCTGCTACCATCCCCCCCACTCTCTCTTGTCCCCCTGACAGCAGCTCATACTTGTGCTTTGCTAAAAGTGGGAATATTTTTCTTTGTGCCCTCATCTCGATCAAAAGTGATGAGATGCAAACTAAATGAAGAGGATTACCTCTTTCAAGACAAACCAAGAAATGCCTATTTCTGTGGGGGACTCATGTACACTGCCTGCCTTTGAGCGTTCTGTGGAGTATTGGTTGGGTTTGAATTTTTATTTCTGTTGCTCTCCAGGAATGGATTGACAAGGGGCCCCCTGCTGTCTTTTGGATCTCTGGATTCTACTTCACACAGTCTTTTTTGACGGGAGTCTCCCAGAATTACGCCCGGAAATACACCATCCCCATTGACCACATCGGATTTGAGTTCGAGGTAGGGGTGCTTTAGGTTAGGCCAACCCAAGAAATCAAAGAAAGCAGCGTTACTCACGTCTGTGTGGCCCAAACACTTGTTTAGTCCCAACTGCTTCTACAATGGCACAAATGAAGTATTTAGTATTGACTTACTGTAAGATAAGCACTGGACTGCTGATTACCACAGGGTCAGAGGTTCAAACCCACCGACAGCTCTGCAGGAGAAAGATGCGGCTGTCTTCTCCTACCGACTTACAGTGTGGGAAAGCCTGTAGAGTGACAATCAACTTGGTAGCAGTGGGTTCATTTTAGCACAATAGCTCCGAAAGCGCTTCTCATGAGAATCAGAGGATTTCCAAGTTTTTGCTCTGTGTATATAAAAAGGAAACTTTTCAAAGGAAAACTCTGCCATGATCATACCATGAGGAGTGAAAACATCAACATAGTAGACTCCTCATTTAGAAAAAGCTTAATGCCCTGAGGTAGCCCTTTGCTTTGGAGTAAAGTCAGAGGATTTGTCAATAGTCAAGTGATCACCCTACCGATATTTAGAGGAAGGGGAAAGGGACTCCTTGAGAGCCTTGTAGAATCAAACATTCTATGGAAAGAGCCAAGCTCAGGAGTCATAAACCGGATGCTCTAGATCTCCCTTTAGTGACTGAATAAACTTGATTGACTCAGTGGCTTCTGAGACAATGTGAAAGTGAAAACAATCACAAAACAAAATCAATGGAATCAACATTAGAAAAAAAGATCAGGTTACCTTTTTGATTCTGAAATGATTATATACCTAGAAATCCCAAAAGACTCTCAAAATATACCTCTGAGAATCAATAGAAGAACCTACTAACTGGTACTGGTTAAATACACAAAATAAATAACCTTTCTGTATTCTAGCAATAAATACTTAAAGTACTTAGAAGTAGAAATGGGGAAACCATTCCCTTCACAATAAAATATTAGAACTTGAATGATTTTAAATGAAGCTTCTACTCTTTGATTCACCATAATCCCCACTGTTCCCTATTTTCCTACATCGAGACCATTTTCTAAGAGCCCTGGTGGCACAGTGAATAAAGCTGCTAACCAGAAAAGGTCAGTGGTTTGAGCCCACCAGCCACTCTGACAAAAAGATATGGCAGTCTGTTTCTGTAAAGATTTCTACCCTTAGATACCCTACTGGGGACTCCGACTCTGACTGATAGGGTTACTATGAATAAGAATTGACTCCATGGCATTAGGTTTTTCTAGATCGTTTTTCTGCCAAAGGAATTTCAGTTGACCACCTCTGAATCTAAACAGTGATGTACTGGGGCTGCATCAGATCAGCTCATCAGAGCCAGTTGTTATGTTTTCAGGAATTTTGTGAGCTGACTGTTAATAGTTGGTAGTAGCATAGTGGTTACGAGTCGGGCTGCTAACCTCCAGGTTAGCAGTTCAAAACTACTAGATGTTCTGTGGGAGAAAGATGAGACTTTGTGCCCCACTAAAGATTTACAGCCTCGGAAATCCTACGCAGAGTTGCTATGAATTGGAATCGACTCCATGACACACAACCACCGCAACCTGAACGAAGCCAAATTTAGTATTTACACCATGAAAACTGACAACTACAAATAAAAGCTGCCCTCCCACCAGCCCCCCACCCCCCATTTTACAGCCATTTTCCCAGCATGCTTCTGAATATTTCCTAATCCACTCTACTACCAGAGATACTTAGAGATACAGGTCCCGAAAGGGAAGGAGCTGTGCAGAATCACTAAGGTAGTTACAGAAAATGTGACCCGACTCCTACTAGTACTTTTGCTTTCTGTCCCATCATATATAAGGGCAACATGCTGACTTAGTATCAGGCTTGCCTCTGTATGGTGGCGGGAGTGGTACAGTTAAATGCCGTCAAGTCACTTACAACTCCGAGTAACACTATATAGGGTTTCTAAGGAGTGACTGGTTGGTTTGAAACTCTGACCTTGAGGTGAGCAGTCCAGTGCTTATCCTAAGCACCACACTAAGACTCCTATGTACAGTTGTTAAGTGTCATTAAGTTGGTTCTAACTTCTGGCACCCCTGTATAGGGTTTCCAAGACTGGAAATTTTTATGGGAGCTGAAAGCCTCATCTTTCTCCCACAGAGCGGCTGGTGGACTTGAACTGCCAACCTTGTGTTAGCAGTCCAGTGCTTATCTTACAGAATCACACACTTCCTCCTATATATGGTTGTTGTTGTTGTTAAGTACCCCTGAGGTGGTTTTGACTCATAGTGACCCTGTATAGGTTTCTGAGGAGCAGTTAGTGGGTTTGAATCACTGACCTTGTGGTTAGCAGTCCAGTGTTTATCCTAAAGTGCCACACCAGGACTCCCCATGTATGGTGGTAGTTGTGTGCCACAAGTCAGTTCCGACTCACAGAAAACCTATATAGGGTTTCCCAGGCTGTAAAGCTTTATGGGAACAAAAAGCCTCATCTTTCTGGATTAGAGCACCTGGCAAATTTCAACTGTTTACCTTGTGGTTAGCAGCCTAGCTCGTAACCCACTATGCTACTGGGGTTTCTTCCCTATGTGTGTGTTGTTGTTAAATGCCTTTGAGTCAATTCTAACTCATAGTAATCCTTGTGTAAGGTTTCCAAGGAGCAGCTGGTGAATGCACTTGAGCCACCAACCTTGCAGTTCAGTGCATTATCCCATGCCAGGACTCCTCCCTATGTATTGTTGGGGGTGTTGTTAAGTGCCGTCTAGTTGGTTCTGACTATAGTGACCCTGTAAAGCGTTTCCGAGGAGCAGCTAGTAAGCTTGAACGGGCAACCTTGCCATTCAAACTGACTTTGCAGTCTTGTGCATTTATCAATTCACAGCGCCACATCAGGACTCCCCTCCCTATGTAGGTTGTTGTTAAGTGCCGTCGAGTCAGTCCCAACCGATAGTGACCCTGTATAGGGTTTCTGAGGAGCGACTGGTGAGCTTGAACCACTGACCTTGAGGTTCAAACCAACTTTGCAGTCCAGCTCATTAACCCACAGCACCACCCAAGACTCCTCCCTATGTATTTGTTGTTGTTGTTGTTAAGTGCCGTCAAGTCGGTTCCTTCTCATGGTGTCCCTATATAGAGTTTCCAAGGAGCAGCTGGTGAGCTTGAACCACTGACCTTGTAGTTCAAATCAACTTTGCAGTCCAGCGCATTAACCCACAGTGCCACCCCAGAACTCCTTCCTCTGTGTAGTAGGCAGATGTATGATCACAGAAGCCCAGCCTCCTGCAAGATGCATCCTGGTAGAGACAGAGCTTGCAGTCAGATTGCACTTCGGGTATTTGAGGACTGCTGTCTTTTAATGTTGCCCTATTTAAGGAAACCGGGAGTGATGGAACTCAGTTCTCCACTCTTCTAGGTGACCAGACAGGAAACAACTGTGGAGAATAATCCAGAAGATGGGGCCTACATAAAAGGGCTCTTTTTAGAAGGTGGCCGTTGGGATAGGACAACAATGCAGCTAGGGGAATCTCTCCCCAAAATCCTCTATGACCCACTGCCCATCATTTGGCTGAAACCTGGGGACAGCGCCATGTTTCTGCATCAGGACATTTATGTGTGTCCAGTCTACAAAACAAGTGCTCGGAGAGGCACCCTCTCTACCACAGGCCACTCCACCAACTACGTCCTCTCCATTGAACTCCCAACAGACAGGCCCCAGAAACACTGGATCAACCGAGGGGTGGCCTCCTTGTGCCAACTAGATGACTGAGAGCCTCGGTCTCAATGCAGAAAATAAAAAAGACTTTGTCCTTGACCACTTCCTGTCTTCCCTTTCTTGAGAGTCACAAGGTATAAGATCCTGGCGATGATGACACACAGAGAGTCATCAGGTGTTTCAGAGCCGCATTATAAAGTAGCACACTCATTCCCACTATGGGTCGGAACCGACTCGACAGCACTTAACAAGAGCAACAATATTCATTCCATGGCTGCAGAAATCATGATACAAACAGGGTAAATGATTTCCCACCCAAAATCAAACTAAGTGATGTTGTTATGTGTTGTAGAGTTGATTCTGACTCATAGCGACCCTGTATAGAGTTTCCAAGAAGCAGCTGGTGAGCTTGAACTGCCAACCTTGGGGTTCAAACCAACTCTACAGTCCAGTGCATTAGCCCACAGCGCCACACTGGGACCAGCGCCACACTGGGACTCGTACTAACTGATAGTAGTCGGGATTTTAACACAGACACAGGGACTTGGCAACCAGAATTTTTCATTTGACTAAGCTCTCCTGAGGTTATTTTCCTATTGCTGTTGTTAAGTGCTGTCAATTCGGTTCCGATCCATAGTGACCCTGTATAGGATTTCTGAGGAGTGGCTGGTGGGTTTGAACTGCTGACCTTGTGGTTCAAACTGACCTTGCATTATACTGCAGTGCCACACCAGGACTCCTATCTTGATCTTGTGTTACCATTATCATTTCATTGTTTCCTGGATGGGTGAAAGGCAGGCTGGTGGTTATGTGCTGTGGAGTCAGTTCTGACTCATAGTGACCTTCTGTTAGGGTTTCTGAGAAGCGGCTGGTGAGCTCTCCTATAGTTCTTTGGCTCTAGCTTCTTCCAGGGTGTTCTGTTTGTTAATATGAGGGTAAGTCTAAGAATATTGCTACTAGAGTCTCGGTTCTTTGTTCCAAACAAAACTTATTTAAACATGTCTGTGTGGTCAGTGGATGGCTGCAGATAAGTTCTCTCAATAAAATACACTTGTCTTAGTCTTGTTAGGGTACCTTCAGGAAAAAGGGTGCTTTTTATGCCCTGGGAAGAAATGATCTTAGGGTCATGGATAATGTCAAATTTCTAACAAAAAGCAAGTGGACACCTTCCCAAATCATTGAAACTCTGCAACAAGTTTGCAGGAAGGCTGCCTCACATGAAACAAGTTTGTAGATAGATCAAGCAGTTTGAGGAAGATTGGGAAGACCTCCATGATGAGTCAAGAGAGGAAGTCTGTCAAGCTTGATGAGTGAAGAAACCATGAATGAAGTCCAAAACCCGGTGGGAGAACACTGTAGAGTTCCCATTGGTGAGAGAGTTAGGATCTCACATAGTTTGGCATTCTCAATGTTCAGGGAACACTTTGGCCTCTGCAAGCTTTCGGATCGATGGGTGCCAAAAACATTGCACAAAAAGGGGGTCTTTTCATCAGTCTTTTAAGCAAGATGGAAGCTAATGAACATGATTTTACGGAAAACATCGTAACTGGAGACAAGTCTGGCATTTACCAATATGATCCAGAGAGTAAGATCCAATTGAAAGAGTGGCTTCCAAGGGGATCTACTGGGTCAGTTAAATTCAAAGCAGAGAGGTCAGCTCAGAAGATTATGGGGATGGTTTTTTGGAATTCCAAAAGGGCTAATCTTGATATAAGCCTCAGTATGAGGATGTTTTTTTTAAAAAAATTGAAGACTGCTTTGGTGCGCAAAAGGAAGCTGTGCCAATGAATTTTCCCCCCCATCATGACAATTTACCTGCTCATTCTATGAGGGTAGTAGCAAGGGCTGTCCTATGAAAATTTCATTGGGAAACCTTAGCCCATCCACCCTATAGCTTAAACTTGTCCCCTTCAGACTTCTTTTTATTCCCCAAACTCAAAGAACACATAAAAGGGCCTCAGTTTGTGTCCTTCGAGAATACCCAAACTGCCATTTTGATGTGGCGTCATTTGAAGAGCAGAGAATTCGTTAAGAGAGGGTCAGAGAGCTGGAAACACTGCCTTCAGATATGTATAGACCTAGATGGAGAAGAAATCAAGAAACAGTAGCGTTCTGTTATGATTTTGTAGCTGTACGTTTTGGCTTCGTCTTGTACCCAGTTAAGCAAGGACATAGACTATTTGAGAAGAACTTAAATTCTTGAAAATCTTCATCTGTCTGCACTGGCATCTCTGCCTCTTCATTATAAGAAATCTTCCCGACTCAGAAGTCTTTCATTGTTCCCTGGATGGGTGAAAGGCAGGCTGGTGAAAGTGAAATTTATATATTCTAGAAACCCTCAGTTTCTTCAAAGGAAAGTGGTATGATCAAATTCTAACTGAGGATTCTGAATGCTGAGATGGGCAAATCATCCAAGTGACCAGATCCTAGAAATAAATACAAAAGAGGAGATAGTTGGCTTCAACTTACAGGAGTTTCCTAGCCATTTTTTCAGAGAAACACAACTTTTGCCAGGCTTTTTGTTTGTTTTGCCCCCTTGGGATGAGGGTGGTGGTGGGGGGTACAGGCCTAGCAGGGAGATTGGGATCCAAGATGAATATACCACTGGAACTGCCATATTGTCCCAAGAATAAGATTGTTAGTCATGTGAGATGTAAAGATGTTTAGGATTCCAAATCCCTGAATCTTGGACTGGTACGTCACATTGTTGTTGTTCTGTGCCCTTGAGTCGGTTCTGACACATAGCAACCCTGTATCACATTGCAAGCTGTCAAAAAGCTGATAGTGAGGGGTTTGCTAAGAGAACAATTAAATTATAATTACATTTATCTAACCCCAACAACCAAAAGCTGATGAGGCCAGGGGCTGATTGTCTCATTCCTCAGGGGTCAAGGGACAGAATGTTTCTGTGTAATAGATTAAACTTTAGTCATTTAAAAAGTTTTCTCCTCTTAAAAAAAAAAATGCTCTAAATTTAAGGTCATTTTCTATGGGGCCAATGTAGTAATTAACATCTCTCCCTGGGAAAGAGCAGCATGTTCTTCAGAAATCATGAGTTGGAGGTTGATGTCCTGGGGCAGAGATGGCCAGAAATCAGCTTAGTGAGAGGCTGTGGGACCTGCCTATAAATAGCTCAGCAGATGACAGCAGAAAAGTTCTGTCACCAAGCTAGCCCTGACTCTTTAAAAATCTGGCTGTTAGGTAAACAGTTATGATTCAGTCCTTGTCAGCTCTGGAAGAAAATTACATTGAAGGAGGGAATGTTAAGAAAGAAAGGTGGGTTCTGCCTTCAACAGACTGAAGATGGAGATTTTGTAGTTTGGGGAGAGAATGTGGGGGGGAATGGTAAACACAAAACATAGGTTCCACAGGTTTGGTAGTAAGTTGATAGCATGTTTTTTTGTTAGTGTATGTATCTTTGTACATCGGGCTGGACATCTAAAATTCACATGTAGAGGTGATTATGGATGTATGGAAGACACTCCAAGGCTAGTGGGCAATCATGGTAGACTTTCACATTGGAGGAGGTTGAGGAAGAAAGGATGGGTTCTAAACTCAGCAGAACACGATGAAAACTGTCAACAGTCACAATTGCTTTGTGTTACTCAGAAAGGGGCCACAACAGACACAGACATGCCATGTCTTACTGGGTCCAGCATAGCCAGTGTTTCCACCACCAACAGACAGATCACCTTTTATTGGTTGTTGACCACCTGATGTAGCAGTTGGCTTGAGTTCGCAGGCCATATGTTACATGAGAAATACTTGAACATTAGATTCACTATGGGACAAGAAAATGTTTCCACAATGAGGCCAGAAAAGAGCACTATGGGACAAGAAAATGTTTCCACAATGAGGCCAGAAAAGAGCAGATTCCAATTTCCCTAATCAAGGTCTGCAGAGGCACATGTGTGTTCACTGAGTGGAATGGCCAACACAAGTGCTGGCACCCTTAAACTTCTCTGTCTTTATCCACCAAAGGCCTAGAACTACATTTGTGCTAAGTACGTGCTACCACTCTACTGGAATCCTGGTGTGGCACTACGGGCTAATGCGCTGGACTGCATGGTGGCAGTTCAAGCTCACCAGCTGCTTCTCGGAAACCCTCTACAGGGTTGCTATGAGTTGGAACTGACTCAACAGCACTTGATGACAACCACGATACTTATAGAGCATCATTTTCATTCTCTGTCATTGTCTAATGAACATGGGAAAGTAGCCTGCTCACAGGGCAGCTGTTTGAAAGTGGAACACAAGGCATATGTTGAAGTAGAGGATCTTTGGGGCAAGGGACTCCTAAATCTAGTTATGGGCAGGGTCAGAAGGCCATTGTAGAGAAGAATAAAGATATCAAAACTGATATACATTGGTATTTATTGTTGATGTTCACAGTCTTTGTAGGTCAAAGTCAACGGCCCTGATTCCACACAGTACAAAGGTATAATAAATTCTTGGAGTTTGTCTTTTTTAATTTTATTAAGGTCCATAGGAATACAATAGGAGCTTTAGTTGCTTTCCAGTAATCACAGGCTTTAAGATGAGATAAACATAAGCACTGAACTAAGGCATGTATTTCTAGTTAGAGGGAGGGGCTGGGTCTCATGTAAAATTTCTATGAAAAACCATGATCAATCCAATGATGTGTCTCTTTAAAGAGGAATTTGTCTGGAAGGTATAAACAACAAAAATGAAAGCACACACTCAAAAAAAAAAACTAAATAAATAAAGTTTAACACAAATCTGTCCCTGAAAAAAAAAACAACCCTAAAACAATTCTGAGAGTGACAGACTGTTTCATAGTAACCATAATGACTTCTGGTAATTGGCTAATTTCTCTGAATCAGCTGGCATGTGTGGTTAAGGGCATTCCCAGGAAACCTTTATTTATTAACCTCCACCTTAGTCCTGTTTCTAAGGATATGTTGAGTAAGGCTGCAAAGGCCCCCGGATCCCTTTTCTATCATCCAGTCAGGGAGGGAGACGCTGGCATACTCTAGGCACACATGATGGGGTAAGTTTCAGAATCGATGGCAACAGATTTGGAGTTAGTTAATAAAGAAAAAAGGTTTTGTCATTAGTTTGATGGTCAAGACCTAGTTAGCTCCTTATTCTCAGAAATAAACTTTCTCCTGGGTTAGGAAATTTCATCATGAGACTTGAGATATACTGGTTTGGAAAGTTTCCTCAGTTTCTCTTGGCTTTGTAGTCTCCGACCTTGTAATGGGGTAAGAGCCATTGGAGGCAGATGAATCTGCACAAGAAGAAGAAGAAATAGAATGATATTAACAACCATGATCATGATTATAGCAGCAGCTTTTATTCACTGAGGATTTACTAAATACCAGGCTCTTTGCTAACCACTAAACCTATACTGACTCCATCCTTACAATCTTTATATATATTAACCCTTACAATGATTTCCTAAGGAATCATACTCTGATTTTTGTAGATAAGATAATGGAGGCACAGAGGAATTAAATTGTGGGGCCAGGAGTTGAACTTAGATCCGTCTGATTATACTGCAAGCAGGAAACTTAATACAGAAGAGGAAAAACGTATGTACGCAAAGATACTCAGTGCATAGTAGAAAACTGGAAACAACATTAATGCCTACTAGTACGTTCAGACTCCTGGTATGGCACTGTAGGATCAGCACTGGACTGCAAACAACAAGGTTGGCAGTTCAAAGCCACCAGCTGCTCCTTGGAAACCCTATACAGGGTCGCTATGAATCAGAACCAACTCGACAGCACTTAACAACAACAACAATAAGTCCAGGGTCCTGGTGTGGCACTGTAGGAGAAGCGCTGGGCTGCTAACCACAAAACTGGCAGTTCAAACCCACCAGCCGCTCCTCAGCAGCACTACACAGAGTTATTATGAGTTGGAACGGAATCGACGGCACGTAACAGTAAGAAACTGTGCTGGTGCTGTAGGTTAGGTATTGGGCTGCTAACTGCAATGTGGCAGTTCAAACCTACCAGGCACTCTGTAAGAGAAAGATGTGACAGTCTGCTTCTGTGAAAATCGGCCTTGGAAACCTCATGGACAGTTCTACTGCCCTGAGCATCACTATGAATCAAAATGAACTTAACAGCAACAAGGAATAGGGAGCTGGTTAAATTATGGTCCATCCATGCATCAGCATACACTGACATTTTCCAAAAAGAGAAAACTATATACAGAGGTTGGCAGCCCAATTCATAACCACTACGCTACCAGAGCTCTGTGTATGTAGGAGAGTCAAAGGAGTAGGAGAAGACAGATGTGCACTGACATGTTAGTTTGTTGCAATGGTGGTATGCTAGAACATTGATTTCTAACATGCCTCCAGTAGTAACTACAGGCTTGTTGTACACATTCTTGGAACTCACCAGGCTAACCTGGATTAGTACCCACTCCATGTTCACTGGAGTCACACTTACTGGCCTTGGATAAGGAATCTGGTAATGCAATCCAATCTCAATCCTGGCTGTGCATTCCTCTGTACACTGTTTGATCAGGTCTGCGTCTGTGAGCTAATAACAGGAGAGAGAGGACCAGCTGTTAGTCTTTCTCTGATGCTACAGAAACATGCTGCCCTAGTGGCTGTTACTGCTGTCGTTGTGAAGTACCTTTGGGTCAGTTCGACTCACAGCGAGCCTGTCCAGGGTTGCCAAGGAACAGCTGGTTCACAGTCCAGTGCTGATCCTACAGCACAACACCAGCATTGATTGTTGGTGGTAAATGCTGTTGAGTTGATTTCAACCCATAGCAGTGATTAGAGGGAGTCACTTTGGCCTTAGAGTGGCTCTGTGTGACAGGACTCAGCTGTAATCCTTATAGGCACAGATCGTCACGTCTTTCTTCCGTGGGTGGGTCTGAACCACCAACCTTCAGCAGTTAGTAGCTGATGGCTGTATACATTTTCTTAAACTTTTTCAACTCACTAGCCACTTCATTATATATTAATCATTTGAAACATCTAAAGCAATCCAGGAGATACATTTGCTGTGGATTAAATTTTTAAAAAATTGTTGAAATAAGTAGCACATGGTAAAAAAAAAATAATTCAAAGACTACAATGAATATGTACAATATGAAAAATGAATCTCCCTCTTATTCCATCCCCTGCTCCCCTTCACACAGACAACAGTCAGCAGCAGTTTCTTGGGTGTCCTTCCAGGGATAGACAGTCTGTGCACATATAAACATAACACACATAGACAGATTTGATTCTGGCTTCTTTTTTCTTACACGAATGACGGCTGAACCTTACTTCTGTTCTGAACCTTACTTTTTCATAACAAGGAACCTTGTTGCTCCTTAAGACATTCACACATAAAGAGTTCCATTCTGTTTAACAGAAGCAGAAATGTACAATGCAAGGCTGCACTGTAATTTATTAAACCAATCCTCAACTGACAGACATTTAGGGTATTTCCAATCTTTGGAAATTATAAACAATTCTATGTTTTTATGCTCATTTGCATATATCTAAAAGAGAAATTCCTAGAGAGATCTGCCGGGTCAGAGGGTATATGTTTATCTATTTTTAATTCGGACAGATATTCCCAAATAGCCCCAATAATCCCACCAACAATGTAGAAGTGTTTTGATCAACAACACTGTATAAGAGTGTTTCTTTCCCTGTCCAAGTTGATTCCATAGTAAAGTAACCCAGTTACTTCAGTATATGCTGTTGAGAATCCCCCTGGGTAAAGACATGGAGAATGCTAACCTCTCATTAGTAAGGAGAAAAGGGGCTTTTGAAGTTCCAAAGTAGTCACATCATGGAGGTCTACTTTCAGGTAAAGGGATGAAAAGTTCATTCTGAAGAACAAAGAGCCAGGTAGGAGAAGGGCAAGACGCACTTTCTATTCCAATAATGGTGAGCTAGTCAACATGTGGCTCTGCTAAGGGCTGCAAGTGGGCCTCACCGGGGTACTAGACTTGCATCTGCCCCAGAGCGCACCAACAGTGAATTCTGGGCCTGCGTGGTTTGGAAAGTCCAAGGGTATTCCTGTCCCTGAGTGCCTCTTGGAGCAGAGAAGAGTTCCAGGAACAATCATACACAGAATCAGAACTGAGTCCTTTGGGGCAAAGGCTCAACTTTCTGACCTCTGTGCTTCTCAGAAGCTGCTGCTCTCCTGTCCACCTTGGGAATACATTTGCTTGTTCCCATTGGTCCACTGGGATTCAGAGCAATTCATGAACTCTTTGGATGATTAAGCTCTAACAAGGAGTGAGGGATGAGAAGACACTCTCTCTGCATGGACGATTCAGAAGAAAGGAAATGCTCCTGACAAACGTGTGGTGAAGGGGACGGCTGGGGCCGGGGCTCTCCATCTCAACAAGCTTGGGCTACAGCTCCCCAAACTTCAGCATTCATAGACTGTCGGCAAGATTTTGCTGTATCTACACGCTACCAGGAGTCTTGGTGTGGCACTGTAGGATAAGCACTGGACAGTTAACCATTAAGGCGGTGGGTTTTGAACCCCTGTATAAGGGTGGCTATGAGTCAGAACTAAATTAACGGCACTTAACAACACACTACCTAGACAAATATTAGTTTTTTCTTCAAATGATTCTCAATATTTTTGAAACTGTGGTCTATTTACCTTCTAATATATGATAAGACAAGTATATATCTTAATAGTAAATTAAAATCCTTGTGCCACCCCTCACCCCAAATAATTTCATATACTATCAGTAGACCAGTAGAGCTGGGCTGAAAAGCTGGTTCAAACCGCAAGGTTGGCAGTTCAAGCTTACCAGCTGCTCCTCGGAAACCCTATACAGAGTCACTATGGGTCACTTAACAACAACAACAGTTCATCAATATTCTGGTGCTGACGGTGTTTCACTACTATTCATATGGTTTTCAGACTAAACACTCAGAAGTCCGCCTCTCCTTCCTCTAGTCTGTCTTAGTCTGGAAGTTCAGAAATTCTGTAAATGTTTCCCAGGTTGTAACTTTTGACAGGAGCAGAAAGCCTCATCTTTCTCGCCCTGTTGGTCTTGCGGTTAGCAGCCTAGCTTGTAACCCTCTACACCGTCAGGGCTCCTTACACTCCTGAGTGTGCCACACCAGGGATCCATATGGAGGACGAGCACCAGAATCTAGTGTCAGATACAGCTCCACAAGATGAGCCCCTCAGGTTGGAAGGCACTCAAAATATGACTGGGAAAGAACTGCCTCCTCAAAGAAAAGTTGACCGTGATGACAGAAATGGAGTACATCTCTCAGGACTTTTGTTTTCTGATGAGGTGCAGCTCAAAATATGAAACAGCTGTAAATGCGCATGAATAATTGGAACATGGAATGTACTAAGCATGAATCTAGGAACATTTGAAGTTGTCAAAAATGAAATGAAACACATAAACATGGATATCCTAGGCATTAGTGAGGTGAAATGAACTGGTATTGAACATTTTGAATCTGATAATCACAAGGTTTATTTACTATGTCGGGAACGACAAACTGAAGAGAAACGGTGTAGCATTCATCATCAAAAAGAAAATATCAACATCTTGCAGTACAATGCTGTCTGTGATAGGATAATATCCATATGCCTATAAGGAAGATCAGTTAATACCACTATTATTCAAATTTACATACTAACCACTAAAGCAAGTTATAATAAAACTGAAGAATTTTACCAACTTCTTGTCTGAAACTGATCAAACATGTCATCAAAATGTATTGATAATTACTGGTGATTGGTATGCAACAGTTGGAAACAAAGAGGAAGGATCAGTAGTTGGAAAATATGGCCTTCATGGCAGAAATTATGTTAGAGATTTTATAATAGAATTCTGCAAGTCCAAGGATGCCTTCATTTCAAATATCTTTTTTAAACAACATAAAAGATGACTATACACATGGACCTCACCAGATGGAAAACACAGAAATCAAATTGACGACATCTGTGGGAAGCTAGTGGAGAAGCTCATCAGCCCAAACTAGGCCAGGGGCAGACTGCTCATACGAAAGTTAAGTTGAAGCTGAAGAAAAAAACAAGTTCAAGAGAGCCAAATCATTTGACTTTGAATGTATCCCACCTGAATTTAGAAATCATCTCAACAACAGAGCTGATGCATTAGACACTTACGACAAGATCAGAAGATCTTTGGGATGACATACAGAGCATTATTCAGGAAGAAAGCAAACAGATCATTAAGAAGACAAGAAAGAAGGAAAAGACCAAAATGGATGTCAGAAGAGATTCTAAAACTTGCTCTCCAGCATAGAAATGCTAAAGCAAATGGAAGAAATGAGGAGGTAAAGATGCTGAACAGAAATTTTCAAATGGCAGTTGGAGAAGTCAAGTTTATAATGAAAGATGCAAAGACATGGAGTTAGAAAATCAAAAGGGAAGAACATGCTCTCCATTTCTCAAGCTGAAAGAACTAAAGAAAAAATCCAAGCTTTGACTTGAAATATTGAAGCATTCTATGATCAGGGTTGTATTCTTTCACCATACTTATTCAACCTGTATGCTGAGCAAATAATCAGAGAAGCTGGGTTATATTAAGAAAAACATGGCATCAGGATTGGAGGAAGACTCATTAACAACCTGCCATATGCAGATGATACAACCTTGCTTGCTGAAAGTGAAGAGGACTTAAAACATTTACTGAAGAAGATCAAAGAGCACAGCCTTTGGTATGGATTACATCTCAATGTAAAGAAAACAAAAGTCCTCACCACTGGACCAATAAATAACATTCTTATCAATGGAGAAAAGATTGAAGTTGTCAAGGACTTCATTCTTCTTGGATCAACTATCAATACTCACAGATGCAGCAGTCAAGAAATCAAATGACGTATTGCATTAGGCAAATCTGCTACACAAGACCTTTTTAAAGCAAAGATGTCAGCTTGAGGACTAAGGTACACCTGACCCAAGCCATGGTATTTTCAATAACTTCATATGCATGTGAAAACTGGACAGTGAATAAGGAAGATGGTAGAAGAATTGATGCATTTGAGTTACATTGTTGGAGGAGAATATTGAAAGTGCCATGGGCTGCCAAAAGAACTAACATCCATGTTGGAAGAAGGGCAGCCAGAGTGCTCCTTGGAGGCCAGGATGGCCAAACTTCGTCTCTCATACTTCAGACATATTGTCAGGAGGGACCAGTTTCTGGAGAAGGATATCATGTTTGGTAAGGTGGAGGGTCAGAGAAAAAGAGGAAGACCCCCAACGAGATGGTTTGGCCAGGTGGCAGCATCGATGGACTCAAGCGTGGCAACAATAGTGAGGTTGGCCCAGGATCGGGCACTGTTTTGTTCTGCTGTGCATAGGGTTGCTATGAGTCAGTACCGACTCGATGGCACCTAACAACAATGACAACAAATAGGCAAAATACTGAATAATGCAGAAAGCATCAAAAGAAGATGGAAGGAATACCAAAAAGAAATGGTTGATGGACAATCATTTCAAAAGGTAGCATATGATCAAAAGCCAGTGGTACTTAAGGAAAACATCCAAGGTTCACTGAAGGCATTAGCAAAGAACAAGGTTCTGAGAATTGATTGATTACAAATTGAAATCTTTCAACAAACTGATGCAGCACTGGAGGCACTTACTCATCTATGCCAAGAAATTTGGAAGAGAGCAACCTAGCCAACTTATTGCAAGAGATCCATATTTGTGCTCATTCCAATTGAATAAAGAAATCATCGGTCAATATTGTTAATATCATAGGCAAGTAAACTTCGCTCAAGATAATTCTGCAACATTACATTGACAGGAAACACCGCTAGAGGTTCAAGCCAGATTCAGGCAAGGTCATGGAACAAAGAGTATCATCGACGTCAGATGGCTCCTGACTGAAAGGAGAAAATACCAGAAAAAGATGTTTGCTTGTGCTTTACAGACTATGCAAAGGCTTTCAACTGTGTGGATTATGAAAAGTTATGGACAGCATTGTAGAGAATGAGTATTCCAAACACTTGATTGTCCTCATAAGGAACCTATACATAGAACAAGAGACAGTCACTTGAACAGAGAGCAATGAACAGAGAGCAATGGGTCACTGAATTGTTTAAAATTAGGAAAGGTGTGTGCCAGAGTGGTATTGTTTCACCATATATATTCAGTCAGTACACTGAGGAAACAATCTGAGAACCTGAATTGTATGAAGAAGAATGTTGCATCAGGATTGGAGGAAGACTCATTAACAACCTGCGATATGCAGATGGTGCTTGCTAAAAGCAAAGAGGACTTAAAATACTTACTAATGAAGATCAAAGACCACAGCCTTCAGGATAGGTTGCACTTCAATGTAAAGAAAACACAAATCCTCACCACTGGACCAATAAATAACATCATGATAAATGGAGAAAAGATTAAAGTTATCAAAGACTTCATTTTACTTGGATCCACCATCAACATTCATAGAGGCAGCAGTCA